TTGCCCAAACCACTATTTATTTTAATGCTGTAAATAAGCAATTTAAATGGTACCCTAGTTCCATAATAAGTAACGTGGTAATGCGATACCCTGAGGTTACAACAAATTATTTATTAGTTTTTTATTATTATTCTAAGGCAGCATCTTTATAACTAGGAGATTTCCATTGGGTCGGATCATAAAAAATATGGGTGCAGGTGTGGTCCCTAAGTTAGGAGCACTAACCCCTGACACATGGATTTCTACTAAGCTGCTATACAGCTGCAGAAAGGTCTTCCCCCACAAAGACCACACACCCAAAAATCCACCCTGCACACACACACACACACACACACAGAGAGAGAGAGAGAGAGACAGAGACAGAGACAGAGACAGAGACAGAGACAGAGACAGAGAGACAGAGAGAGAACAGTAAAAAACAAAAGAGTCCCAAGACCAGGGCTGACGTCCCCAGAAGTCTTTGAGTTGAAGGCCATTAAAAAGAAGAACATTAAAAAGAATGGCTCAGCCACACTTAGTGACATGGAATAGGGTGGCAGGAAAAGCAACAGGCTTGAAATCAGACAGCTAGCTAATTGACAACCCAATCTTTCCTGGCTTCAGTTTCCTTTCCTGTAATTAAAGTGTGTAGATTAGAGAAAACCTTAACAACAAAAACAGAAAGAGAAAAGAATGGCTCAGAGTGGCAAGAATCTTGGTATCTGCTCCTGCGTTCCTGCGACCAGGTCTGGAGGGCATCAAGTTTAACAAAGTTTGAGATCAACTTTCTCAGGTCAAAGATCAAGAATTGCAGTAGCTTTTCTTTTGACCGGGAAAGCATCAAGGGTAGGGGCTGCGATGGTCACCACAACAAAGGAACAACTTTGTCTAGCGTGGACTGAGTGTTTGTCAGTGCTCACAGTCAGCTAAAGAGCCCTTTTGTAGGCCAGTGTCAAGCATGACTAGACACAGGGAGACAAAGAAGCACAAATCCTGAGCTCGGAAGTTTTAACAAAGTCAACAAACCAACTGTGGGCCTGCTGTGATTAAGACCCAAGGGAGAGACACAAACCCAGTAGCTGCTGCCCAGAGCAGGAGCCCCTGGGTGCCAAGGGATGCTGGGGCAAGGGCCGCAGGCACTGGCCAGGGCAGAGCACACCGAGAGCAGGCAGTGAGGAGGGTGCAGGGTGGGAAATGATCCCAGGTGGTGGCAAAGACAAGAAGCTGAGCAGGGATATTTAAGGAGGGTGTTAGATGATACATAGAAAACTCTCTCAAACGCATTAGCAAAAATACACACCCAAGGTATTAGAGGGATATAGAAATGAAATGCATGCGTGGGTCACGAGTTGTGTGCTTTTCTTTATTTCTAAGCACTCTGTGACGGGTGCGCCTAAAATGTTAGGATGAGAAATACAGCAAATTCACAAGCACTGCCCTGGTACATTGTAAAGGGACTGGGAGATGGTAGAAGCCGCACTGGAAAGATAATCCGGGCAAAACCGGAGTCAGAGGGAAGGCACCCAGAGAGTCAGACGCAAGGTCCTAGCACAGCCATGGCACTCCCCCAGAGGCCCAGGAAGCACCAGAGGAGGTCCACAAGTCCAGCCAACTCCAACATCAGCCGCTTCTTCTCTACCCTGAGGAGTTATACCCTGAGAGACTTGTGTTCTCTTCATGTTGCTGCAGATGGCAGAGATGCAAAGCATAGTGGGAAATGAAGAATCTAGGGGTGTAGGGCAGCTACAGCTGATAGACTAAGAAAAGCAGAAGTCACGGGTCAGGGTCAGGAATGTCACCATGCACCATGCCCTGAGATGGGAGTTGGAATCACGTGGCTGCTCTCAGCTGTTTGACTGCCTGAGAAATGTAGCCCGTTATGCATCCCATCCCCGCTCCTTCTGTTGCGACAATCCAGACAAGGCCCTAGTTGCTACATCTGTGGGGCAAACCTTCACCCGACAATTAGATTCTCGATCTAGTAGGGCTCGATCAGAGTTGCCTATCGCTCCCTGCATCCCCATGCGTCCTAGACGACACCAGTGTTTCTGAATCCTCTGTGGACAGATGTGGTACAGATGTGTCAACTCAGAAGGGCTGTGAGACTCTTGGGAACACAGCAGGCACATCACTGGTGTCTGAAATAGATTCGCACCGTGATGAACATCACAGGACTAATGAGACCGCACATCTATCCAAAAGCAATCCCTATAAACTGGAGAGAGTTGTCCAACAAGCGTTTTGGGAAGGGTGCCAGAGGGGAGCAGGACCTTGGTCATAGTGCACCATTAAGCCGTGTCAGCCTCCCCAACTACAGAGGTTCAGATTGCTGGCCTGGAAAGAAAAATTAGACATTGGAGAACCTTGAGAGGGCAGCACAGCCTTCTGTAGAGCTGCCAACTCCCCTCTTCTCCACATGCCACGCAGCCTACGACACTGCTCAGCTGACTGTCAGCAACCAGCAAAACACAGACATGAGGACCTGAGCTAGATCCCCAGAATCCATATCAAAACCTGGACGTAATGACACTCATTTGTAATCACAGTGGTGCTAAAGTAGTCCAGTGGCCAGCCAGACTAGTCTAAGGCATGAATTCCAGATCAGTGAGAAACCTTGTTTCAAAAGAAAAAAAAAATGTGGATGACTTTAAATTAATAACATCTGAAGTTAACCTCCAGCCTAACACACACACATACACACACATAAACATACATACACAAACATATACACATACATACACACACATACACACATATACACACACATACACAAACACATACATAGACATACACACAGACATACACATGCAAGCACACACACACACGCGCACGCGCGCGCGCACACACACACACACACACACTGTACTTCTCAGGCACATTTTAAAGTATAGATATGTAACAAGAGGATAAAAAGTCCCCATGAGACAGTGACAGGAGAGGACCAGTGTCATACAGACCTTTTTCTCCAGTCTTGCTTTGAGAGCTGGTAGAATCCTGGAGGACGGGCAACAATACCAGCCACAGAGCTGGGCTGAGTCTGCGAACCTCAGCTCAGGAGCCATCTTGTAAGGAGCGTGGGGTTCTCTCAGAAGACACATGAAAGTGAGTCTTCAGTGCGAATGTCACCCTACCTGAAGAAATGCCCAGCCCAGAGGAAACAGAATCAGCAGAGGGCATCTGAGATAACACCAGTCCCAAACACAACCTGACATACACCTTGGAACTCCATTTCAGATTTCTTATGGACGTGAACCCCAGTCCTACATCAGGGACAAATTAATCAGTATTTGAGCAAATTCTACAAAACTGTGATCAGATCTCTGACTTTGTCAGGATGACAGACTCCAAGCCTGTTGGTGGATTCCACCATCCACAGCTTCTGCATGAGACAGAGGGCTGCAGTAAAAGAACCTGCTGCTTTGGTTCTCTGCTTGTTGAGAAAAACCAGAAGATAACAAGATCTTTGCTCTGGGAAGAAATTTAGAAACTAGCCAACCTGATCCCCTTACTCCCCAGAGTGATTTGTCTGGACTCCAGGAACTAGTGGGAAACCAAGGGTGCCTGGTATGAGTCCGTTGTACCTGGAGCTGGGAGGCTTCTGACCTGATGGGGCCTCACCACGTGGAAGGAGACACATGACATCCTGGCTCCAGATGCGACATCCTAGAACTCAGAGCCCTCTCTGCAGGAGACCCAGCTGCAACCCAGGATTCACCATGTTAGACAAGATGGTATCTATGGCTCTTGTGGCCTACAAGAAGCTGGCCTCTCCACATCTTCCTTCCCTGCCTACTCCCTCAGACTCTCATCCACACACCAGCCTCAGCATTCCATGTTGCCTCTTAAGCCTGGGCCTCACTCACGCTGTCATCTCGCCTCAGTACATTTCTCTTTTCAGCTGGACCCCTACAGCCTGAATGTCAAAGATGGTTGACTGAAGGCCCACACTTCCTCCTTCCCCATCGTTTGGCAAGATGAATTCCCTGTGGAGCAACAATGGGCACAGAACTCCGGGAGGCAGTCAAATGGAGAGTTTTGATGTGTTTATTTCTGTGTCTTCAGCATCCAACAAATACTTGGCCCATAGGAAATCCTTAGCATTGGCAATGTCTGAGAAGGACAGCGAACGTTCATCAAAGCTCTCCTGTATGCACACAAACTCAGTCTTCATACCAACAACGTAGAAGGTGTGGACAATCCACCAGAAGTAAGAAGAGTCTGTGAGTGAAGACTCATTGACTGGTTGTGGAGCAGAGATGCCAGGGGGCCAGGTCATTGAGAAGAGAGTTTCAGGGCAGAACAACCTGGTTTCTTATCACAGGGGCCCTGATCTTCACAATGACATCCATTCTCTCTTTCTAATGAATTTCTGCTCTGAAAAGATGAGCTGGGGATGGTTTTATATAAAAAAAAAATCATCCCATGGACCATGCAAGCAAAGGAAAAATCAAGTTTGCAAAGAGTTTTGACTTTTATTCTATCATTACTGCACATCAAAATAAGTGTGAGAAAACAGTGGCCAAATTAAGACACAGAGGAAGACTATGCTGAAGGGATGAGGGATATGAGGAGAACTATGCTGAAGGGATGAGGGATATGGGGAGGAGGACTATGCTGAAGGGATGAGGGATATGGGGAGGACTATGTTGAAGGAATGGGGGCTATGAGGAGAAAGACTATGTTGAAGGGATGAGGGATATGGGGAGGAGGACTATGCTGAGGGGATGAGGGATATGAGGAAGAGGACTATGCTGAAGGGATGAGTGAGAGTTGCTGGCACTCTAAAACTCTCAGGAAGGTGAGCAACAGAAGGGAAGATTGGCACAGAGTAAACTAATGTAAGTTCTTCCTGAGTTTGGATCCCTGTCTCCCATCTGAAGAGTCAAATGGGAATTCACAGGCAATTGGGGAGGCAGCTGGAGGGCAACTGTTGAAGTGTGAAATACAGCTTTGTTTCCTTGTTCACTGGAAAAGAAAAAAAAACCAATTCTCTAAATAGTGACAAATCACAAGAACACAACAAAAATGCTTAAATATTTTATTTCATGAGGTGTCAAGAGGTCCCCGTGATGGAACTGTCCTACACGGTGACAGTGCTACACGTATGTGTACACAAAGATACAACGGGACTGAGAACCAAGCACAAACACAAGAAAGAGAATGTGAAAACAGCAAGCCTGAAGAAAACCAGCCAGCCGCATGGATGCAACACCCTGATGCTGAGAAAATACAATCAATGCAATTGGTGCACCGAGCACGCTGCACAGGGGGCTTACTGTCCCTCATCACTGCAGCTCTACAGCTATCTTGGAGTGAAAGAGATCTTTCAGAGAAAGTGTACAAGATTTGGACAGCATGGAAACCATGGTGCCCAAAGAGGGGTGGTTGTTGCAACGTTAGAGCAAGGAATTGCTCGCTTGTGCTCTGTGTCTCGCTTCTGCTGTGCACTCTGCCAAGCCTTCCTCCCAGGCTCTGTTACTGGGTGCCGTCTCTCTGCAGAGCCTGTCTCGAGAGCACAAAACAAGCATGTCACACACAAAGTTCAGCTCGGTGCAAATGAACAAACGTCTACAGCCTACATATCTTTATATTTTTAAAGATGGACCCAAGCTGGTGGTGTGGATCGGTGGTAGAGTACTTGACTAGTATGAAGGAAGCCTTGGGCTCAAACCCCAGCACCGCATAAAAGGAGAGACTCATAGGATTTTATTAAAAAAATTTTTCCTGTGGCTTGGAGATACGGCCCAGTAGGAGAAGGACTTGCCTCTCATGGACCAGAGCTCAGGTGATCACAACCCAAATAAAAATCTGGCATGCAGTGACCCTCCTAGGATTCCAGTGTGTTGGGAGGCAGAGACAGGGGATTCCAGGAAGAAGTGGCTAGTCAACCTAGCCAAATCAGCGAGAGGCCCCACCGCAATATATAAAGTGGAGAGCAGTAAGAATACCTGACCTCAACTCCGGACCTTTGTGTGCATACCGACATATGTGCTTGTGCACATACCTGCATGTATGCAAACATGCATACACACATACACACATGCAAAAGAAATCCCCAAAGTGTTTCTAGTAGGGGAGGAGTGGTTATTTGGATGACCACGTATGTTCTATCTCTATTCCAAGCCCTGCAAAGTACACAGTGGAAAGGCACATTACAAGCTGGGGATGCTGGGGGATGCTGTCAGGTCTGGAATCCTACACGTGCTCCTGCTCCACAAACTGCCACTGCCATTCACGCCTCTGGTTCTAAGTGTAAGAGAGTCACAATCCAGTAAAGACTTGGTTCCAGCTACAGAACAGTGGTTTACAACTGGAGGGTTCACCGGCTACACGCCCGCCCTAGTGAGCACAGCTCAGAGGCTGAATCCTTTTGCCACCTCTGTCACTTTCACATTAAGCTTTAGCTAGTTGCTCATCTAATCATCTTCAAGGCCCTTATTCACTGCTAGTGTTTCCGCATTTCACACTGTGCAGTGCAAGTGGGCACCGTGTCCTATATATGCAAAGAGAAACAACTGGCTAAGCCTACCCCTCAAAACAATAAACACAGGCTTGCAGGCTACAGCACACAAGGCACAGCATGCCCAGAAGCCTGAGGTTAAGACTTATGGTTAGATCTTTCATGCCCCCCTAGAAGCTCATGGGATAAAATAGCTGTCCCCAGCATAGTGTTTTACAGAGATGGAGGACCTCACAAGTCGACTGAGACACAATGGGTGTTATAGTTAGCAGGCAGATGGGAGGTAGTGGAACTTTGGAGAGTCAGGGCTAGTTGAAGGAAGCAGGTTGCTAAGGCAGTGGTTTTGAAAGGTATATTGTATTCTTGGTCCGTCCCTCTTCATATCTCTTTGTTTCCCGGCCATCATGAAGTGAGCTACTTTCTTCCACTTTGTACTTCTTTATGGTATTCTCCACCACCTCAGGTCCAAAGCTACAGGACCAGGAACCCATAAACTAAAACCCTGCAACTGTACATTCTTACAGATATTTTGTTATAGCTGTAGAAATCTGGCTGATATCCCCTAATGGTCTACCCATCACAGTGTGGCCACTAGGATTTGGTGGGGGGGGGGGAATAATAGAAAGACTACTCAAATAAAAATAATTCACTTTTTTAAATAACAGAGATACCCAACGTAGAGGCAGAGACAGAAGAGTGTTCCACTGTGGTCAGAGAGCCACCCAGGCAGACCACACTCAGACCTCCAGTTTGGCTTCTTTCAGCCTTGTTTATACTGTGGCCAATCCCTCTAAGTTCCAAGCTTCAGTTCCTCAAGTTTATGGCCTAAGAGAAAGTGTACATCCTTCTGAAACCTCTGGTACAAACTCTAAGCAGGATTCTGCAGATCTAATGGAAACCAGGAGCCCATTTCTGGGCAGTCCTGAGGCTGCTTAGGCGGCAAACTCTGATTGACCATCAGAGATCTGGGGTTTTCCAGGTACAGAATGAGGGGAGAAGAGACCAAAGAGAAAGAAGGTCCAGGCTAAGAAACTTCAAGTCCCATCCCAATCCCAGTGATCCACCTTTTCTAGCCAGGCTGTATCTCAAAGTCCAATCTCAGTTGAAATCCGACCAGCCTAAGTTCCATCCCCTTTCCTAAGCCAGAGGAAATGATGGGAAGGAGTTTGCGCTAGGTCCATAATTCCAGGCTTCAAGCCAGGACAGCAACAGAGAAGCACCACTTAATGTTCAAAGAGTAAGAGGTTCACATCCTGCCTGTGCGTTATACTCCCTGCCATAGTGAGGCATTTTACCAGCAGAGTGTGAATCAGCGCTCTGCTTCCTCTATAGGGAAAGTCCATTGCTCAGTGATCTACTTGGCTTTAAGTATGTAAGTGACACCTCTGCCTGGTGGCATTCTGAAAGGTTCTGGGTATGCAAAAGGCACTTGTGGGTGTGTCTCAGATGCACAGATATGTGTGTCTGCAAGCGCACGTGTCTATGAGTTCACCAGAGGAGGACTTCAGTTGTCCTGTTCTGTCACTGTCTACCTTATTTTCTGGCGATGGCTCACTATGTCCCAGGGCTGGGTTGGCGGCCAGCGAGCTCAGTGATCCTCCTTTCTCAGCTCCTGATAATTATCCTGAGGTGACAGGCACACGTGCAGCCACATCCAGCTTCTCATAAGCATGCTGGAATCGGGACACGTTTGTCATGCTCGCGCAGCAAGTGTACTCCTGCCAATGAGACATCTCAGCCCAGAAGCCATTCTTGCTGCCTTGTCAGAGAGCTAGGCACCCGCGCAATTACCCTGCATGTGACAATGGCAACCTCAACTGAAAGAACCATAGTCTCAATCAAAGCAGACTTCTGTTTAGCCCGGCCCTGAGGAGTAAAAACCTTGTCCAGAAGAGCAGTGTCTTCTAGTTCTCTAGGCCCTGTGGACCCGGTTGGCCAGGCCCCAGGTGGCAGAGTCAAGAAAACCTTGCCAGGACTGCCCCCGGGGCCCAGGCTGTCCTGGTTCCCAACCCGACGCTCTAAGGCTACAGCTCTCGTTTTCACAGTCAAACTCTGTCTTCTCTGCTGTGGCAGGGCATCTCACCTTGAGCTCTCCTCTGCTTTCAGACATGAAAACCCCTCATGGACCATTCCGGAACCATGCCAGAAAATTACCCTTGCTAATCACAATGACATAAAGAGAGACTGTGTGCCAGGAAGCTAGACTATACTATCTCCACAGCAACTGTCGGGGAGGAAGCCATCCTGAGTCTCATTTAGAGAAAGAGCTGAACACTGTGCTCTCTCAGGAACGGAAGGGAATTCCCTATCTTTTCTGCTGTCTGCCAACAGATGTCTTTACCTCAGAGGACACTCTTTCCGCCTGAGAATGAGTGGTGTTAGAGGGGGCTGGCTTGGACTGGCATGCCTGCTTGGATTTCTTGCTTCTCCACTCTGTGTGAGGAACACTAAATCCTGATGATATTTCCCGCAGAAACACATTGATTCTGTATTGGGTCACTCTAGAAAAGGCTGGATTGTTGGGTCACAGAACTACACATTAATCCCACCTGTCCCTGTTTCTGAGATCACATTTACCCTTTCTTGGATATGTTGCTGGTACCTTAGCCTTTCTCAAAGTTTGATCTCTGCTCAGTTCAAGTGTTTCTCCCTCGAGTTCTCTTGGGAGTTCCAAAGACTTTACATCTCTTATTATTACATAGCCCTGGCACGAACACAGCCCCGGCTGCACCTTTTTGTACCAAGAGCTGGATCCAGTTTGGCTTGGGGTCCCCCTCTAGAATGACTGAGACCTGCCCCCTGTTTTCCTCAGACCTTTGCAACAGTCCACACCAATCTCACTGCATTTGTTCTACGGCATTATTTCCTTCTAACAAGAGCAAAAACAAAGGCAAAGAAAGAAAGGAACAATGACAGAGAGCAATAGCATGCCAATCTGAGCAAAAATCTAAAACCTACCAGGAGGCAGTCTGAACGCTCACTAAGCGATTCACTATTCTTCCTTCCTCTCCTGGTATCCTAACTGCTCCGGGATTTTGTCTGAGCCAGAGAGCTCTTCTTGTTCTCCTAAAAGACACAATCTCAAGGAAAACATCAGGAGCTCGCAATTGGCGCAGCAGACAAGGAACCAATTTGCACAAAGTTCCCTCTGCTTAGGAAAACAATACCTCCTCCATTTCACGGAACCATTCGGAACAGAAAAGACTGCCTGGAACGGAAAACCAAGTCCTGGATCCTGAAAGGCGACGGACCAAGGTCTTTCATCTAGGAAATCTTTAGCTAAAAAGAAAGAAGGGGGTGAGAACATCAATCAGATATTATTTCCAATTATTTTTCAAATTGAAACAGAAAAAGCAAACACACACACGCGCACATAAGCCTGACATGGGGTTACTGGAGTTTGCTGCTGGAAGGGAAGTCCTTGCTTATATTGAAGTAAAGTTCTGAAAATAAGCAAAGAACAGATTTATTGATTTTGGGGGAGCCTGGGTGTAAAAAAAGAGAAAGAAGAAAGAAGTGCTCTTTGCCCGCTCTGTCCAAATGACATCCCAAGTGGCCTCTCTAATGGTGGGGGAGGGGAGGGGGCAGGTGCCTATCCGGGCACATGGACAGAACTGCCCTTAGGCTAGGGCTAATGGTATTGGCTGAGCCCGCTGTAAGCCTCTCTTTTCTAATAGCCAACTTTCTATGTGCGAGAAGACAGGCAGATATTGATTGGCCCAAATGCCCTTGAGTTGACAACATCTGAAATGAAAATCCACAAGGCTAGCACAAACTTTCCGCAAGTTCAGTTTCTGGAATCTGATTACGACACTGGCCCGTGAACCTGCGCACACGTGAGAAAGCCACCCCCACCCGTCTTGTGTATGCCCATTTGGCCCCTGTAATTGGAAGGAGTTAAGTGGCTTCGTCAAGCCTGCTATTCAAATGTCCAACAGGAAGCAGAAAGCGTGGGCCCATCTTCAGGTGACCGCAAGCCAGCTCCACGGCACTGGCCTCGTATCAATCCCTATCCCCAACCCCAAAAATGGGAGTTGAATGGCCTCAAGCGCACATTCCCTGAAAAGCTAAAAAGCAAACCTACTTTGTTTTTCCCCCCCAAAGTTCCTTCAGCACCGCTCTGGAGAGCCTCTCGGGTTCCGTGACTGGGTCACTTGGTAGACACTAGCCTTCTCATGTTGTGTCTATTACTCTATTGCAGTGAAACTGCCCACCCTCTTCTCTCCTCTGCCGAATAAGATGCTGAAGTGGCAATTCATAATTTAAAGTCCTGGGAATAAGGAGGAGAGCGCCCGCTCTCCGGCTCTTATTAAAACACGCCTCCATCTTCTACAAATGCCTCCTGATCAATACATCGGCTGCAGGATAAGGCTTAAATCGGGCACAGCTACACGCTCAGTACACACTGGTCTTTCTTGGTGGGTTACTTACAAGCATTAAAGGCAAAACCTTTCAAATTGGCATCAGGACACACACGCCAAAGAAACTGCAGGTGGAGCCCACGTTAAATGCATTCTCTCATTGATTGGAAACGTTGATCCTTTTACGGCTTTCCTCTCTTTCCTCATTAATCTTACTTAACCTTCTACAAACAATGCCAGCTCTGTCACTCTAGATATCCAAAACCTGCCGTGCCGAGAAAGCTGTTTTCCTGGCATTGGCAGACTGGCTCACAACTCCTGTTTTAGGAAGGGCTACTTTCTTTAAAATTATACCAACACAGAAGAGGATAGCTTCCATCCTTGTGGGCTGGGTGGAGGGAGGGCTGAGAGGCAGGAAAGAGGAAGAGGGTACAAGGCCAGCCACGAGGAAAGGCCAGGGGATGATCCCTCTTCAAGGGGAGAGGTTGGCTCGCCAGCCTTAGCCTTGCAGCAGCAGGGATGGTAATTCTGGTTGTAGCAGTCCAGGTCCCCTGCAGCCAGAACCAAGTGAGGTCAGGCCCAACTGCATGGAGACATGTCTGGCTGCCACAGGGCTAGAGGATGGGACACCCAACCAAATGCACGTTTGGGGTCTTGGAACCATTCAATACTTCTAGACGCTTATGAAATAGTCTCAAATGTAACTATATGTTCCCTCCACCCCAGTAAGGATGGTTTATATGGCGAAAAACTGCTTTTGTTGCCAAGGAGAAACACTGAGGTTACATGTTGGCATGCCATCAGATCGCCTCTCACAGCCTTGACACCAGTGCTTCATAGAGACTCTGCCGACCTAGGCATTTGTAATGATTAGCACCAAGTCCAACTTCTTTGTGTTTTTTCCATTGCTCCATCTAAATGAGAGTAAGAGGAGGAAGAATATTGAAAAAGTCTTGACCACAGAGTTCTACAAGTCCTAATTAAAAGGCACACGGGAAACACCCAGAAAGCGTTATCAACAGTTACCGCCAACTATGGTACTGAGCTTAAGAACATTCCACGCAGGACTGGGGATCCTCTCTTTAGCTGCGAGTGCTTCATTCAGCATTCTGTGATGCCAGGAATGGTGCTGGAGAAAGCAAAAGCCCTTTCTGAATTTTTGAAAAGATCAGCATCTGAATACATATTAAAGATAAAGTCTAAATGATTCAGAAGAGGCAGAAAAACACCAGCCTAACTTCACAAGGGTGCCGGGCCCTGGTCCCTAATGAAAGGAACAAAGCCCTGGGGATGTAGGAGCTAAATGAATATGTTCTTCTCGCATGCAAATACATAAGGCTCTAAATGGCAGGCCGTTTTATTAAAAGAAAAAATATAAATCTCTCAAACCAGCAGAAGATTGGGGGGGGAGGGAAAAACAGCCCAGCTCTAACGCCGGAACTTGAAGACAAGTAAAAAGAAAATTCTCCATCCCCAGTCTTCAGATGCATCTCTGTGCATCTGTCTGGAAGGTTGAAAATCACTGCCAGGCTCATTCCTAACACTGTGCTTGTGACACTTGTTTAGGTCTTTCTCATCATTATTCCCTGAGGGATGGCACAAAAAAAAAAAAGGGAGGAGAAAAAATAATGCAAAAATCTGATCACAGAATTCTAAATGCCCCTAATTACAAGACACATGGACAACTCCCAGAAAGCTATATCGACAATTACCACCAACTATCTTAAATGCCTGGAACCAGCTGTGGGCATGGGACAGGTGCACCCGAGGACCATGGTGGGAGCCGTCTCCTGGGACCTGCCAGGCTTCGCACCCATAGAAGCCAAATTGGAGAGCAGCTAAAATCCAGCCATCTCTGACCCAGATGCCATTCTCGACACAGGTGACAAGTTTATTTTTATTATTTACTTATTTATATTTATTCCATGCGAGGGGGAGGGTACTCAGATGCACACCGGTGTGGAAGTCAGAGAACAACAAACTGAAGGTAGTTCTTTCCTCCGACCACATGGGTCTTGGGCAACAAACTTGGGTTGTGAGACTTGGTGTCAACTGCCTTTACCGGTTGAAGCATCTCTTTGGCCCGAGCCTCGCATTTCTTCACCCCTCTACCCCTCTGCTACAGAAGAGAGCTTTCCTGCCCCATTGCCTTCAGCACTCAGAACAGTCAGTACCCACGAAGCCTATACAGCCATCACGTCTCCTCTGCTGCTCTAGATCTCATCACACTCTGGTTTACTGACATCTGTCCACTTCCAAAGAATTTCAAAGAACTTCATTGGCCATGATCAAATCAGTTGATCAAAGCACCAAGTGGCCTTGAATAACGCTTGGGAATGGGAGCCACTCTTAGGGTGAATTGAGGAGGCCCGCTGGCATGAGGAAGCCCTTGACTGTCTGCAAACTCACCTCTCTGCCTTGACCTGTAAGTCAGGGTGTGTGAAGAATGCCTGGCATTCTGAAGAATTATCAGGTTAAGAGTGTGACTCTATTGGTATAATGTTTGCCTGGCATGCAATTGACCCCACGTTCCATCCTGGTGTGTTTGAATGAGAAATATCCTCCACAGGCCCATGTATTTGAGCACACAGTTTCTAGTTGGTGGTGCTGTTTGGAAGGCTGTGGAACCTTTAGGAGGTGGAGTTTCGCTGGAGGGAGTAGCTTGCTGTGTCTTGAGACTCTATGTCAGCCAACCCCCACTTCCTGTGTGTGATCTACTCCCTGTACTCCATACAGATCCCTATGACCCACTCAGCCTCTTGGGCCAGTTGCCATGTCTTCCCCAACATGATGGCATGGTGCCCTTGAACCTTGAGCCAGGAGTAACCATTTCTCATTTAATTTCCTTCTTGTCAGGTGTATAGTCCCAGCAGTAAAGAAAGAAACAAAGACAGGGACCCCACACTACATAAAGTGGGTGGGTGGTGTGCCTCTGTAACACCTACACTCCTGTGAAGGAGTTCAAGATCATCCTTGGCTACATTGTAACTTTCAGGCCCAGCCTGGGCTTCACAACAATCTGTCTCAAAAAAAAAAAAAACTGGAAAAAAATCTATTATAAAAAATAATTATTTTCTCCTGCAGTCATAAGCAAATCCACTGCTGTATGAGTATATTAAAAAGAAGAATGGTGTGAATAAATATCCAAGTGCAAGCTCCTGCTCTCTGACCAGGACTCACCACTTTCTATGGACCCCACTAACATGGACCCTGCCCGTCTGACTCCTAGGCCAATATCTCTCCTCACCCTCCCAGGGATTCTCCCTGCCAGAGTCAAGATCCTGGGGGTGAGCTTTCTCTGCCTGTGCCCCGCCCACACAGGAACTTGGGAAGCCAAGTTTAGCCCTCACATTTTTATCAGTAGGGCCCTGGGCTCTGCAGAGCCATTCCTAGGTATGATCCCTGGAGCAGGAGCCGGCATGCCTTTCTCTGTTCGTGAGCAGGAGCTGTAGGATAGTCAACTGTTTACAGATGTATGTTCTATTGGCTTCTCCACCTTAGGCCAGCTCAATGTGGGGGCTAGAGAGACTAGATAGCTCACCCTGGCTTTTGGCAGAGAAGAATGCTGATTGCTTGAGTACCAGGGGAACTTCCTAGTATGCTTTCAGGCATAAGAATCATTGAAGAAAGTCACAGTACAGAACCCCAAACTCCAAACTCCTTCAGCTTCCGCCCTGATGAGGCGACCCCTTTCTCTTCTGGTTTCAGCAAAGAAAACAGGCAGGTAAAATGGTGTGTTTCAATTTTACCGTATTACATGGCTCTTCACAGACTCGTAGGAGAGCAAAAAGAAAACCGATTTTTGTCTTTCTAATTACTCTTCCCATAATGACTACGGTTTGGGGCATATTATCCTGATTTCTCTTCATGGCTGCACTTACCTTTTTCAAACTAAAGTGCGATTGTATTCTGCATTCCGTTTCACAGCCAGCCTTCCTCACTTGGAAACATAACCAGAACAATGCTCTTCCGACATCAATGAGAGGATGGAGAGCCATGGTTTCTTGAATGGACCCAAAGTGCCTCGGTCCTGCATTCTGGGAAACAATCCTGCGAACAGCTCCTCCTGGCTGAATCTGTGCCCTCACATGACTGTGTCTTTAATAGTATAAACAAACAAGTAAACTGCAAATAGAGCCATTCTATTTAACTGGCTTGCATTCTGTTTGGTTAGAAAGGAAATGAATTCAGAAAATAAACGGATGCAGGCTAAAGAAACAGCTCAGTCAGTGACGTTCTTGCCCATGCAAGAGGATCTCAGTTCAATCCCCGCGACCCACACAAAAAAATTAGGCATTGTATCATGCTTGGATCCCGGAGCTGGGGAGACAGAGACACGCAGATCTCTGAAGCTTACTAGCCAACCATCCTCTAAACTGACAAATTCCAAGTTGCAGTGAGAGACTCTATCTTAAGAAATAAGGTAGACCAGCCCTCGGAGATCCCGTGGATCTGTGTCTTGCTTCAACAGTGTTTGGACGGAACAGACCCGGGGCCTCCCTTTGTTAGCTTCCACCGCTCCTCATCTGCAGTCGCAGCCTCCGGGACCATCTCCTCGCCGCCTTCAGCTCCCAGGACCAGCCAGTACCATCTTTTTGCGGGTAGCTCCAGACTGCGTCTCAGCCATGACTTCCCAGGTTCGTCAGAATTATTCCACCGAAGTGGAGGCTGCCGTGAACCGCCTGGTCAACCTGCACCTGCGGGCCTCCTACACCTACCTCTCGCTGGGCTACTATTTTGATCGGGATGACGTGGCTCTGGAGGGTGTAGGCCACTTCTTCCGTGAATTGGCCAAGGAGAAGCGCGAGGGCGCCGAGCGTCTCCTCAAGTTGCAGAACGATCGCGGAGGCCGTGCGCTCTTTCAGGATGTGCAGAAGCCATCTCAAGATGAGTGGGGTAAAACCCAGGAGGCCATGGAAGCTGCCCTGGCCTTGGAGAAGAACTTGAACCAGGCCCTCTTGGATCTTCATTCCCTGGGCTCTGCTCGCACAGATCCTCATCTCTGTGACTTCCTTGAAAACCATTTCCTGGATGAGGAGGTCAAGGTCATCAAGAAGATGGGCAACCACCTGACCAACCTCCGCAGGTTGACTTCTGGGCCCCAGGCATCTCTGGGCGAGTACCTCTTTGAGCGGCTCACTCTGAAGCATGACTAGGGGGCCTCTCCTTCCGAGGGGCTCCCACCTCTGCTCTGCACCAGCCAGCCTCAGGACCTTCACCCTAACCTCTCAAGAAGCCACTAGGCAGCTTTGTAACGCCCTGGAGCCCCTCTCAAGTATTGGACCAAGTAAAAATAAAGCCTTTTGAAACAGCAAAAAAAAAAAAAAAGAAAGAAGGTAGATAGCGCCTGCGGGATTACATCCGAGGTTATCCTCTAGACGCCACATGAATACATGCATATTCTATATGCACACACATGCATATACACGCACACAGCGCATACATACATACACACACACAAGTGCATGCACATCTGCATGTGTGCACACACATACAAAAGAAAGATAAAAAATAAATTGCAACTCGATGTAGCAAACTGTCCCACGTTCTTCAGATTAGGCGCCCATCTGAACTCCTTGTTTTGGCCTCTGCCTTCTTCACATCACCTTGAGCCACACAGGGTCAACACTCCTGTTTCTCAGCATGGCCTCTGGAGGAACCACAGCAGCAGTGACCTCTAGACACCTCCACTGGCTCAGAGCCCCTGAGAGAAGGAACATTCACTGGGCAGGAAGACTCACGTGGGCCAATTGTCACTGCCTACCCAAGGTCACCTTCCCGTAAAAGTTATGAAATTCATTCCCTAATCTGCCCTCATTGTCCCTAGAGGGACGAGATCTAATTGCTTTTTACTGGGTTTCCTATTTTAAGGAATCATCACCTCTTAACATCACTGCAGTGGTGACCAAGCACCCAGCGCCCAAACTTTTGGACCACAGAATCCAACCACATAAACCACTGTGGTCACCTGCATACACCATGTGGCAGATAGCACACCACCACCACAGGACACAGGGGCATTCAGATTTAAATCCAAATGAGTGATTGAGATTAAAATTCAATTCCAAGCTTGGGCACACTCCACACACAGTCACGTGTTTGGACAGGACAGAAGAAAACCTTCCCTACCAGGCACAGGCTCCTGGCCAGCTCTGCCACCAATCTGAAGCACACCGCTCCATCTCTCCTGAGCCCGGGGCCCATGTCTGAGGAACCTGGGAGCTCAGTTCTCAGATTTTCCACACGTCAAACTTGTAAGCATCATTCCTCTTAATATATTGGGTAATTTTTCTCCTGACCCATTTCATTGGCTCTTGGACA